CACAGAATTTCAGAATAAGCTCTCAGTTAAAGGTGGTCATGACAGACCTTGTTTACCAGTTGGCTGAGATGCCCATGTTTACCCACAGTTGAATAAGTTTGCCTTTCATGGATCTCAAGGTGTGGATTTTTGTTGGGTAGCAATGTGGTGAGAAGAGTCACCTTATTTAATCTTTTCTGCGCTTTTAGCAAATGGTAAGATTGGAAATGCAGCTGTAGCCCAACAATGGAAACAGTTAAACTACATAGGTGTTGTAGCTATGTCACATATATAACATAGGGAGAGGCTCCACTCTCTACCTTCCCAAGACAGAGTTTAGACACTAGAATGCCATCATTCTGCTCATTAAGGAAAACAATCTTCTTTTTTGTCTTTAGCATTAATTGGAAACTACTTAAGAGGGGAAAAGAAAGCACTGCCTTGTATGAACATTCCTTGGAAGACTCTCCAAGGAAGACAGTACTTAGTAGGACAAAAAAAGGTATCTTGAGATGAGGATATCCTTTTCTAGTTCTTAGTGAGTTGTGGGTGGGGCAGAAGCAGGGTAAGTCCTGGGCCATAGGAATGGGATGGTGGGGGCTATGGACGAAAGAGCAATCACAGTGTGACATGGGGTGGGGCACAATTTGGTCTAGTGCCAGATCTATCTGTAGATAAAATAGAAATATATTAACCATGACTTTGTTTGGAATCAAGAGCCTTTAAGGATGGGACACCTGGCCATGCTTCACCTCAGCACCCAAATGCCGCTAAGTGACGCTCTCCATTGTGTCCTGAAATGTGTGCACAGCACTGCCTTAAAAACTACAATGCCAGGGATTTGCTTTGTGTTTTCCCATGGATTTACTTTTGTCTTTCCAAACAAAAGTAACTCAGAAACCAAAACACCAGTTAAGCCATCACTAATTAAACAAAATAGTTTGAAGTATGTTTGAAAACTAAACAGAAACATTTAAGCTATTAATATCCTAAAATACTTTTTAGATTTTCAAAAATATTGATTTCAACCTTATAACTATATCCAGTGTAAAACTGGAAATGAGATGAGTAAATAGAAAACTGGAACTTTCTTAATCTATCTTTATTTTTACTAAATAATTCAACTGATTATTTTAAGTCCTTTCATATTATAGGAACAAAAATAGTGAAACATTTTTTAAAGCTTTCACTACCTTTAAGGAATTTTTAGATTTTTATACAAATTATTCATGACTACATAAAACAGATATTGTAATTTTCATTTTACAGATAAGAAAATTAGTTTAAAAGATCGAACAGCTAATGCTAGAGTCAGAAATGAAGGTAAACTGAAAGATTGTTGTTTTGGTTCTGATACTCATGTTTTGAAACAGTGTCTACATGGGCCCAGGCTGCCTGCTATGTAGCTGATGGCTTGAACTCCTCATCCCCCACTTTATAGGTGCTGAGATTGCAATCGTGCACCCCCATTCAACCAGTTAACTGAAGGATCTTGATTGGCTTTAGCCGAATGATCTCTTATTGGCACTGAGTTTATAGTTTCTGGGCAAATGTTTGCTTAGAAGTGAACGCGAGAGAGAAAGGCCAACCTGTAGTGTTAAAATTTAGTACTGTGGCTAGGTTCACAGTCTATTCCAATTTCTTTTGGTGCCCAATCTCATGTCAGTTGGACATATGCTCTTTTACCTTAATTAATTGATTTGGTGCAGGGGATCGAATCCAGTACCTGTCACATGCTTTGTAAGCACTGTGTCACTGAGCTACACACCAAGCCTCTTTCAATCTCACAGCGGAAGGGCTACCAAAACAGCTACCATCTTGTATTCAAATGACTGGCCACTTACCACAATTTCATTTCTTCCCAAGTGTTCAACACAAGAGAACTCTAAATTCATGCCATACTTTTGATGCATTTCACAACTAATCCCAGACCCCTAGTTCATTACATAGAAATCAAGTACTTTTTTTACAAGATACATGTTTTTTAATTGGCTTGGGTTGTTTTGGTGGTGGTGATGGTAGTGGTGGGTTGCTTGTTTGTTTGTTTGTTTGTTTGTTTGTTTGTTTGATAGATATAGGGTCTCATGTAGCCCAGGCAGGCCTCCAATTCTCTATGTAGCTGAACATGAACTTGAACTCTGACCCCTCATCCTTCTGTCTCTACCTTCTGTTGCTAGGATTATAAGATGTGCCAACATGCCCAATTTATGTGGTGTTAGTTATCAAAGCCAGGACCTCATGCAAGCTAGGATAGCCCTCTGCTGCAAGCCACAGGAAAATGTAATGGAATTCAGCTACTATCACAAAAGCTACTACTTGGAAAGGTCAAGGACTTTTCCAAAGGTCAAGCCATGGCTTAAGAAGTCTTGGTGATATTTTAGCTTTTGTATATGTATTAGCTGATTCCTGCAATGATTTCCTTGTATGCTATGTATGCTTCCAACTACTAACAGTGTATTTTATCTGAAATACCTATCAAGCATCCAAGGCCAAATGATCTCCTGAATTAAGGTAAATTAAACTCAGACCCTCCTTTCTTATACAGCCTTAGTGGTATTTATACTAACATTATAGACTCCCAACATTTACCTAACTACCTCTAGGAATGTAGATTGAGCACATAAATTTCCTTTTTCTGATCTATTAACTGATTTGAGCTCTTAGTTGACCTCCTCCTTTACCACTCCCCTTTTGGGTTGTAAAAGAAAGCCTGATGGTCACTGCCTGAGGAAAACTCTTGTCTGCCTTTATGACCCTGTAAGAATTCAAGCCTGGTGACCTTGCTTTTAGCTAGAGCACTGCTATTGCATGGGTACATAATTGTAAACCTCAGAGACTTAAAGAGGATTTTGACTGAAGAGGATTTTGACTGGAGAACTAGAAGAATGAGATGGAAGAGTCAGATGGGGAAGAATGAGATGAGAAAGACCAAGACTGGCAAAACTAAGATGGGAGAATTAAGATAGAACTTAGAGGGGACAGCAGATAATGTAGAGAGAAATCAGGCAAGAAAGGAGCTAGGCATCAGAACAGAACTGAGGCTGTGTAGATAGAATTTATCCCGGAGGAATAAAATAGACCAACTAAAAGTTTGGTGTACTTAGATTCTTTTCCTGAAAATAATTCACGCTGTTTGTAGCTTCTCTTCTGGGCTCCTAGGAAGAAGATTATTAAGGCTGGACCATAATAATATTCAAAAACCATCTACCGGTTGAGCTCCATCCCCAGTTCGCAGGTACATATGGGTACATAATTGTTCGCTGTCCCCTCTAAGTTCTATCTTAATTCTCCCATCTTAGTTTTGCCAGTCTTGGTCTTTCTCATCTCATTCTTCCCCATCTGACTCTTCCATCTCATTCTTCTAGTTCTCCAGTCAAAATCCTCTTCAGTCAAAATCCTCTTTAAGTCTCTGAGGTTTACAATTATGTACCCATGCGAACATATGTACCCAGTTCGCAGGTGCATCCATCCCCAGTTCTGAGTGCTAAAGATACAGCAAGGCCAGAATTCCTTTGGAGTTCATAGTTTAGTAATAAAAAGATGTAGTAGGTAAGTCAATGATAAGATGGTGATGGGCAGATAAAAAGCCATCCTGTCATGTCCTTGGGGGAGATCCTGAGAACTGTTACCCTGAAACCATTGCCTCCTTTTTTTTTGAAAAAGTCAATTATTCTTTTATTTTGTGTGCAGCTGTATGACTAACCTTTGCCGGATGGATGTAAACAGGAGAGAGATGAACAATACTCAGACATCTTCTAAAGAAGAGGGACTGTTCTTTTCTTTCTTTTCTGCTGGCCAAGATAGAAGTCTGCTGGCTGGAACAACCACCTAGACCTCAGAGTTCTGCATTTTAGGGATAATGGAGCAAAAACAAGGGATCCAAGATAAGTTAGGACAGTTAGACCCACCCTAGGCTCCTCACTCTGGAATAGGTTCCCTGGGGGACTAACAAAAGTCCACCTCATTGTTGGTTGTTTGTTTCAATGGGGGGTTGGTGGGAGGTGAGGTGGTGATTCTACCACTCACTCCCATGTGATGTTACTCTTGACTAATTTCAAGACACTAAGAAAACCGAGGAAGGAATTAGAGAGTGGTACAGTGTAATATAGGCAGGATGGTTGGGGCAAGGTGTCATGAGGACTTAAGACTCAAGCTGAGCCCTGGACCTATGAAGAAGTGAGCCAGGATAACAGGGAAGTGTGTTCCTGGAAATGGGAGAGTGAAAGAAAAATATCACACAGGAGAAGGGAACAGGATTTTGTGATCAAAGACCAGCAAGGTGCCAAGATGACTGAGTCTGAGGACCTTTCTAATTATTGTTCCTGGAGACAGAAATCCTTCCCTCCAGGTCTGGAAGAGGCGGGCAACTTTGCAGGGATAACCTCTATGGATGTCTTCCAAAGTGTGACCCAGTTAGAAGCCTTCAGCTTCATGGCTCAACCCATAGTGGCCAATTTCAAACTCTCTTCATGTTACCATTCAGATATTGCTTGTTGGTTAAAGCTGCAACAATTCTCACCTTTGATTATGGGCTGGCTCTGATGACCAACTCCTCACAGCTTTTGTTCTTGACGAGGCCCCATAGATATTGTCCATAATGTTCATTTTAAAAAAGATGTATTTTATTCTTCTCTCTTCCCTTCTTCTCCCTCCTCACTCCCCCTCCCTCCTCCTTCTCTGTCTCTCTCTCTCTCTCTCTCTGTTTGTGTGTGTGTGTCTGACCCATGGAGGTCAGAAAATGTGTCAGATCCTCTGAAACTGGAGTTCAGGCAGCTGTAAGCTACCATGTGAGTGATTGGGATCTGAACCCAGGTCCTCTGCAAGAACAGCAAGTGTTCTTAACCACAGAGTCATCTCTCCAGGGCTCCTACAGTTCATTGTGATTTTGAATAGTCCATCATTTTGCTCTAATTAATATATATCTCTTGTCACCTCAATTAAGGTATAGAATAAGAACTACATCTTTGAAATGTTTTAAAATCCATTTTGACTGTGGTCTCTCCCAACAGAAGGTGTTCAATAAAAATGTTGTTCGTGTCCAATGAATGAGTATTTCATTCAGCTATCTCAGAGTCCCGAAACACAATGGAGAGAACCTAATCTCTCCCTGTCCCTCCCTTTTGCCAGGAAGATATGAGCAGCTAAAGTATTTGGTGCTATATATAGTCAGTTGATGTCAGCTGGATGCCAGTCTCTCCAGAGAGGCTCAGTCCCCTGTTTAAGTCAGAGCTAGGGACCATGCCGTTCCAGGTTCAAGGATAAAACCCATCAGGCCCAAGTGCCATCATATTCCACCTTCAGCGTTTTCCTCCACAATTGGGATTCACCCCTGCTGAAAAGTGCAGTCTACCAGCAAGGTGAGTCTATTGTTTCCTAAAATGTCTTATTAGTCAGTTGTCCCCAGAGGCTCAGAGTTATGACTCATAAATTACCATTCTTTGCTTTAAAGGGAGGCTGTTGATGCCGGCTTGAAATGTTACCACCAAAGAGGTCTGGCTGAGTCTGGCCTCTTCCTCACTCTTAGAGTTTGCTGGAAGTGATGTCCTCTGATGCTGGTGGGATGGCAGCCAGGAGAGAAGCATTGGCAGATTGGAAAAAAAAAAACTGTGGGAAAGAGAGGGAAGAGCAAGGAAGCTGGCACTTTGTTTCTCAATGCATAGTGGTCAATGTACTGAAAGACTGGGTCTGAGACTGTGTCGTCCTCTGTTCACAGGGACCTGGGCTGCTGCTGAAAAATGTGCACTGTAGACAGACAAGCAGGATCTGTTGGTCTTTCAGTAAAAAGCAATAATAAATTCTTAATAAGAAAGATGTTCTCTTGCAGAAAGGATGATCATAAGGAATTCTTCACACTGCCTCAATGGTGTCCCTTTCTTTTCAACAGGGAATAAAAATACCATGCTATCACATAGTGCCATGGTGAGGCAAAAGAAACAGCAAGCATCAGCCATCACGAAGGAGATCCATGGAAACGGTATCACTAAACACCCTTCATGGTCCTAACATAGCATGGCATGAATGTAGACCCTTTCTGATGTTAATGTCCTATAGTTCACTTCCTTAAATACTTCCTATCCACCACAACAGACGTGAAGCTCTCAGGGTACTATAGAAAAGCCTATGGTAATGAATCCTTCTGCACTCATCCTTTCTCATTTGAAAGCTATTTTCAGATCAGCAACTGCTGCAGGAGGAATGAGGCAGGCTGACAGCTGATGTGCATTCTCTCGGCTTGCCGCTCACAGTATCAGTGAGCATGATGCTTTTGAGTTTTGTTTATAGACAACTTTCATACGACCCTGGATTTTTTGTTCTATCTTGATTTCTTTTGTAGTGCATCAAAAAATTCAAAATATGTTCTATCAGCCTTTTAAATTTTTCAAAACAAAGCAAAACAACTGGTTGAATAGGCGTTTGTATTCATTGTTTAAACCTGACGCCAGTATTCACATTTAATAACTGATTTACTAACATATATTGCATGTGAAATCTACTTTTACTTATGCTTTCTGAAAAATTGGGGTCCTTCTAATGTCAGTGCAACTTAATTTTTAATATATGATAGATGTAAGATATTTATTCCAATAAAAATTGACTTGTTAAAAAGCAAATTCATTTTGTTCATGAATAAAAATTAGCATACTGTTAAATTTTGAGTTTAATATACAGGTCCTTTTTAGGGCTGATCTGAGCCATTGCAGACACGTTTGTGGAATTTGCAGGGTGCCCCTTTATTTTCGTTCAGCTGACAACAAATGGAGCATTGCACCATGAAAATATTCACATCTAGAAGCATGAAATCTGGTGAGGCATCTGGAAACCAGGATGAGTGTAGTATTTCACATCATCCTTTCCGTAAAGCAAGCCGAACTACCAATCAAAGTGTTTTACATACCGGCCACATACCACAGTCATGCTGAAAGGGTACGGCTCGCCTTTAATGTCTTTGCTATCAAATCATTGTGCTGGCTTCTGCCTGCTTCTCAGGCTTTACTTTCATACCAAATTCATTTAGAATAAAATGAGAATAATTCTGGCCTCGCTACCAGACTGTATCAATCCAAAGTTTTGAACCCCATGCTTCTTTTAAATTTGCATGTATTTTGGGTATCCTACTTTGGGTAATTTACTTGAAATTGTATGTGTGGCTTTGCTAGTCGACATGGCAAAAATCAGATGATAACTTAAGTTTGAGACTAAATTGTTTGCTGTAAAACTAGGCTTTGGATAAATTACTTTGCATTACGTCATCATCATAATTGTCTTAGGCCATACTACCTTGAACACAACTGACACCATCTAATTACATCGTAATCATAAGTAAATCCATTTACTATAATCTCATTATAAATTATATGTCAGAGTTTACTCTATATTTGCTTACCTACATCTATGAGAGTAAAATTATATCTTTATAATTTTTACAGATATAACCATTGAAATCTTTATTTTTAGAAAATATACTTATATATCAATGGGGAACACTACAACCTCCCCTCCAGGAAGTCTTGGCCATGTGAAGGCCTTCCCTCCAACACTGGATGAGCTCCAGCCCAGGTGGGAGGAGCCCTAGGCTCTGACTTCATGATGGTCAATATTCTAGATAAACTGGATAGTCAGACTCATCCAAGATAAAACACCTATATATTATGAAGCAGGACAAATACTCGATTTCTTTCTTTTTTTTCTGCTGGAGTCTTGCATGGAACTTAACTGTTCGTATGCTGCAGGGAGTGGAGGACACTGCAGCTGGGAAATGTCACCTTCTCTAAGGACGTAGAAATGAGATATGGACTCCAGAGAAACATTTATGGTGGGGATGAGTCTATATTTTAAGACATATTGCAGCTGTAAAACATCTGGATAGTTTAAGATGCTATATGCTAGGGTTCCAATTTTAAGACTCAGTAGTCTCCTTGTACATAAGAACAACATTAAGTAGTATAACCCATGTGTTATTATGATCATACTCCAAAAAACAGTAATAATGAATGAGGTTCAGCCAGGTGCAGTTCTTGTAGGGTTGAGACCACAGCCGGGGATCCTTTGAGATAAGTAGGAAAATGTAAGAGGGAAAGTTTCACATTAGATCACTCTGACTATTAAAAGAACAAACTGCCTGAAAGAACTAAAAAAATTCTCCCCATATAGACTACAGAGTTAAGTGGATAGAATGGGTTTTTTAAATCTCTGGTTTCCATTTACTACATCCATGTTCTTGCTCATTGTGGACCCACTGTAATTTGGTGTCACACAATGTACCAGGAGTGAAGACATCACATGTCCAACAAAGAGCTGATAAAAGTATCAAGGGCCTGCCAGACAGCTCAGCAGGCAGGGTTCTTGGTGTCAAGCTTGGAACCTGAATTCAATCTCGGGAATCTACATGGTGGAAGACAAGAACAGAAGTACACAGAGAGAGAGAGAGAGAGAGAGAGAGAGAGAGAGAGAGAGAGAGAGAGAGAAACAAATGTTAAAGAAAAAAAGTATTTCTTGTTACCTAGGCGCTCTACCCAGATCAGCCTCATCATGGTAAAGCACTACTATCTACCAGCAGGAGAGAACCGAGAGTGTGTGTGTGTGTGTGTGTGTGTGTGTGTGTGGGGTCTTGTGTTACTGTTGTAACAACAACCCCAGTGCTTCACACAGCATGTCAGCCATGGCAGCAAGCATCTAAAAAGTGCTACAGTGCAAGACTGAAGAGATCTTTTGTCTGCATCTATACATGGATTAGCTGTGAGGACAAGACAGTTCATAACAGTTCCCTCCCTCCCCACAAGCCCTGTGCAATTAATTGCCTGTGAATCTGTACAGGTTTCCTGCATGAACTGTGATCCTTGCTCACTCCGTAACTCATTTCAAATCTGAATACTAAACCACGAGGGAGGGATAGGAATAAGTGACCAAGGAAGAGATGGGACCATCAGAACGGATTAAGAGCAAGCACTCTAGAGTAAGGTTGGGAAAGGAACTGGAGTTAAAACAACCACAAGATGAACTGGGAGTGTGATGTCGCCTAAACTGTAAACACAGGTGTTACTAGCAGCTCAGAATAAGAGCCTCATAACAGGAAAGGGGACCACAGTGCGTCAGCTGTGGTGGCTTGCTTGACACACCCCCGGGCCCCCACAGCTTTTCCTCCTGCACTGTGGGAGGGCTTTGTTGTCTTGTGCTTTGGGGATGACTGACTTTCTCTTTGTAACTGGTGAACAGCTTTCCCAGGCACATTGAAGAGAAGCAGGCTGGTTACTTTTTGCAATTTCAGGGAAAGAGTTGAGCTTTGTGGTCTGAAATCAGAAAGCCCTGATTCTGAATGGAGAGCTGTGTGGATATGACTTCACCTGTGCGTCTCATTCAGAAATTCCGTGTTTCCATCCACTGAGCTGCCCGAAGGCGGGAACGGCCGTGTCTGTTTCTCTATCAGTAACAGAAGGAATAATAGTGTTGACAGAAATTGAAAGGATTTGAAAAATTATAGAGCACGAGGTCTAGAATTTCAGGTGAAGGATTATGTGAGGATCGATTTTTAATTTCCCTGTCAATCAAAATTTCAATATCAAAATGATAACACCAGAAAGACCTAATGTAGTTCAAAATTGGGGTGGGGGGAGCAATTCAGTGTAGAAGTTTGTGATATTTCTTTAACTTTTCACATTAGAACTATCATAATCTTAAGAAAAAAATAGAGCACCTGACCTTACCAAGGTCCTTCAGAAAGCACTGGTCACAACCCTTGATTTCTACAGTGCCTTCCTCTGTGATAGGCTCTGTCTTCTCCTGCAGTCTACAGGAAGCACTGAATGATTTGTTGTGAACTCAGAACACTGGTAATATAATTGCCTAAATATTTACAGCTCTTCACAGCTAATCACACATTAATGGAAAGCTTTATAAGCAGTATTAAACTGGGGAGGAGGAGGCAGGTGAATCTGTGAGTTCAAGGGCAGCCTGGTCTACCTAGTAAGTTCTAGGCTAGCCGGATCTATATAGTGGGACCCTGTCTCAAAAGCAAACAAACAAGAAACCCAAACAACAACAACAAAATACCCTCAAAATGATACAGAGATTCTGAAATAGGAACACTAAGAGTCTCATACAGATTTCAAATTCATCTTCATTTAGGAAAAAATTAACAGTAAATTTTTGTTAATTGGAAATTTTTCAAGCATTATTCAAGTTAACAGGCTGGACTACAATATTTTATTTTATCTGATCTATGGCTTACAGTATATAAGAAGATAGAGTTTATGAACTATTACTTGTAGATGGAGTCCTTTGCAAGTGTGGAAAAGAGTCTCTGTGTATCAGTAAGACCCCTTAAGTAAAATAAGCTTCCGCTACTTTTCTCCCATGGTTTATACATTCTTTTAAGATTGCATTTGCCTGACAATCATGAGGAAGAAATTTTAAAAGATCTTCAGTCTAACTACAGTTGTTTGTAAGTGGGTTAGGTTCCTGGATCTGACTATGGTTCTATATCACTATAAATGACTGCGGTAGGAAAGTATGCCTAGCGATTTTATTTTCAATGGATGATCTAATGCCTCAAAGACAAGCTTCTAAGTCATGAGGGTGAGGATGCGTATGTATCGTTTCTCGGGCACTGAGATCAAAAGCACCATGAAAACCTTGTGCTGGGATTACACCAAAGGGCCAGGACATCTGAACTCAGATCCTCAGCTCATAGATGATTCTGAAACCTTTGCTTCTGTGACATCATAAGCAACTTTAAAAGGGAGGGGAAGGAACCTTGAGACTTCAGCTTGTCTTTTGCTGTTTGTTTATACAAAGGATGTTGTTCAATGTATTCCTAACACTGAAGGATGTGATGCTTTGGTTGGTCATTTCCCATGTTTTCTGTCGGAAATACTCTCACTATGACCAATTTTAGGCTTCCATCATAGAGGCACCAAATGAAGTGTGGGAAGAAGTGTGCAACAGTACAATGACACATAGGAACTTACAAAGCAATGGTATAGCAAGCACTATAGTATTTTCAGATTTTCCTCATGTAGCTACAATACATACGAATAACCTCAAGACCATATAGATAATAGCAAAAGTATCCAGCAACTTCTAAAGTGATACCTTTTGAATAGTTATTGCTGTTTTACTGTGACATGTCCAAGTATTACACTTATGGAACTTTTTTCTCCCCACAGTCTCACTGTTGCAACTTAGGCTGGCCTTCTATTTTAGATCCTCCTGCCTCTGTCTGCTGAACATAGGATAACAGGGATCTGCCACTATGCACAGCCAGAAGTTCTTTTTATTCATTGCTGGGAATGGGACAGAGCCTCACATAGGTTAGGGAAGTGCTCTGCCACTGAGCTACATCCATAACCCCACATACCTTGTGTGTGTATATGTGTGTGTGTGTGTGTGTGTGTGTGTGTGTGTGTGTGTGTGTGTGTTCGAGCACACGAGCATGTGTGCATGCACAAGGTTTGACCTTGAATCCCTGATCCTTGGCCTCCACTCCCAGAGTGCTGGGATTACAGGCATGTATCACCGCACCTGACTAATCACTTCATTTGAACACTAATGTGTCCACTGTGTGACTGCTGGCTTGTAGAATTTCTGAAAATGTATTAGTCCAGTCTGTGAACTAGTGTGAGTTCCAGCACACACTTTGTTTTTTGTGCAATGCTTCTGAGCTTAACCACCCAGCAGATGTTCAGTCACTCGAAGCCACTGTGGAGTGGGAAGGGGAAAATTAGGATTGAGACAATACAGATCGGAAAGTAATGAATAACTTGAGAGTTGGTAAAGCATGTTCTCTTTTGTTGATTGTGTCTGTGTTCTTGTGGTATAAATTTAAAGGCAACACTGGATTGTGTCTGCTGATAATTTCTTTGTATGCTCTGCCATTGAGGGCTGGTAAGTTCTGGTAGCTGTGCATGCACATTTATTCCTTGGGTCAGCTTGTAGTGAGTTCTAAAAAGGAGTAACTACTTCCTGTGAACCCAATGAGCGCATAGCTAGGGGCAAAAACTTTCTTTTTCCTAATACCTCCCCTATGCCTTATTTATCAAGGACCTCACCATGGGTCTTCTAGGTCAGCTTCTCTCCTCCTTGGCTACGATTCTATGTTTAACACAAATTTTGTTCTTATATTAGCAAGAACGTGTAGAGAAAACAGCTATACGAGTTAGCATGTGTTTAATTGACTATAACAGAAAGCAGCTAGGTAAACAATAAAGGGAATTTAGTGGTTGACATATCTGAAAAGATCAGAGATGGCCTCTGAGACCTCATCCAGAGACTTCTACACAAACCCAGGACATAATTCCTGCATCAGCTCCCTTGGCTTTGTCTCATCTTGCCAGTCATCCTGCTGAGGACTGTTGTGTTCCAGGACACACTCCTCGAAGCTTAATTACCCTAATTAATTTGTCACATCAGCTACAGCTTCTGTCTCGTCAGTCAAAATAAATAGTTATTTGCCTAATACTCCAGTTTCTCTCCCTGTGTACATAACAAAACTTCTCAGTGACAAAGAGGTTCTGTGCATTATACAGAAACATATTCGTAATTCTAAAAGCACTTGGAGGTGCTGGGCATGGTTAAATACACCTACAAGCTCAGAGCTTGAGAAGGAGGACAGGAGTGTCTTGAGTTGGAGGCTAGCCTGGGCTGCAAATCTGTCTCAAAATAAAATCAAAATAAAAGAAGTAGAAGAATTTCATCTCTCTTGACTTGTGAGAAAGCTCTTTAGTATTAGGGGTAGAGAATAACAATCTTCTGTCTTGAATTTTTGTTCATTTGTTTGTTTTGAGACAGACCATCAGTATGTAACCCAGGCTGACACTGAACTCACTATGTAACTCAAGCTGATCATGAACTCACAATTGTCCTCCACCCACTTCTGGCCTCATTACAGGCATGCACCCACACTCTCAGCTAAAAATAACACTCACTACAAAATCTCTCCTAGATTTACAATATAAGGCACATAAAAAATTAAAGCCAAAAGAAAATTCAAACCATAAAAGAATTGTGATCCAGTGCTTTGGATTCAACAGGAGCATTAGTAATTATACATAGGTTTTAGTGCAGAGATTCACAGAAGTGGCATTGGAGCTGCCTGGGAAAGATATCTACTCCATTTTTCTTACCTGCCGCCTCCCTTTATGCAGGTTGCCTGGTGCCAGGCACAGACTAGATGGCGGGGTTGGAGGGAGCATGTGTGCACTTCTGTGACTGGCAGAACTCAAGCTGATGAATGGGAATGTGGGGAGAAAAGCAAAGCTTATTAATATAAATAGGAAGCAGTTCTGTTTGGAAAGTCACTAAACGGAAAGCCTAAATTGTACTAAGAGTATGACAGCTAACTTTTATCCACTCTTTCTTTGTGCCTGATAACATGCTAGTTTATATGAAATATTTTAATTAATTAAATATAATTTAATTACATTTAATACCAACGCTGTGCAATAATTATTGTTCTCATTATGATTAGCTGAACATTAGAGATGAGGACATGGAGGTTTAGACAAAATAAGCAACATCTGTAATCCCACAGTGCCAAAGTGGTAAATCCAGGATATACTCAAAGGCCAGGCAGGCTATGAAGCACATCTCAATCACTTACTATAATGTAGGGCAGGGAACAAATTATAGAACTTTGCAAAGTGTTTTGAAATGCTTCCTATTGGATTTTCATGAATGTAAATATTGTTTTACAGATGTAGATGGCATGAACCTGGGCAAAAAAGTCAGTATCCCCAGAGACATCATGATAGAAGAACTGTCCCATTTCAGTAATCGTGGTGCCAGACTGTTTAAGATGCGTCAAAGAAGATCTGACAAATATACCTTTGAAAATTTCCAGTATGAGTCGAAAGCACAGATAAATGTAGGTACAACTGGACCGTGAGTATCTAGATGAATTAACAGCATGCCTAAGGGTCTATGTGTAACCAGGCTCCCAAACTAGTTGCTCTACATACTTTCTTTCAGTTGATTCTATGAGACCCTTTTGTTCAAGATGATGAATAGCTTAGGTAGTTAAATAAAGCAAGCATTATGTATGATATGAGAATGCTTTTTTGTTCACTAGGGACATTGTGAGCTGTAGATTTGGCACTGAGGAATTGGCCTGTTCTGCTGGGAGGATAGAGAGTGAGTGGAGAGAAGTGGTACCAGCTGTTTCCAAGTCTTATCACCTACAAACAGTTAAATGTTTGTGGTGGAAACACTCCCAAAGCACACAGAGGACCACAAAGCAAGGATAAGTGTTGTTTTCGCTGAGTACATCCTGGCCCTGTAAATGCTGAGAACAGCAAATTCCATCAGTCTTGTCTCAAAGTATTTATTCTACAGGGTCATGACAAAGCCAGCAAGGATCTAATGCTTTGGGCCAATAAACATCAAAACTTTAACATTTTAATTATATTTTACAGCTGGGTGTTGGTGTTGCACACCTGTAATCCCAGCATTCTAAAGGCAGAGTAGAAGGATCACTCACAAGTCCGAGGCCAGCCTGGGCTATATAGTGAGTTCCAAGCCAACCAAGCCTACATAGTGAGACCTTATCTCAAATGAACAAATATTAGATTTTACGTGTGTTAGAATCATATTCATTTAGACAGTATTTGAGAGAAATTGTAGAGAAGTTAGTTCATAAAAGACAAATAACCAGTTAAGGTATGACTTTATTTATTTTTTATTACTTATTTCCTTATTACACTTACTAACAGTTGGATAAAATAAAATTAAAATAGAGTCTCACTATGCAGCCCTGGCTGGCCTGAAATTTTCTGTGTAGACCAGGCTGAACTTGAACTCACAAAGATCTGCCTACCTCTTCTACCCAAGGACTGTAATTAAAGGCCTGTGCCACCATGCCAGGCTTAAACTAAGATTTTGAGAGCTGAGGATTTAATGCAAAGGTTGAATCCTTGTCAGACTTGCTCAAGGCCCCATGTTCAATCCCCAGAGCTACAATCAATCAATCAATAACCATAGCTTAATTCTAGTTTTAATTGTGAATTCAGTTAGACATATAAAATCATATAGACATATAAAAAAAACTATAGTATTTACATTTTGTGAAGAATAGTTTTTTGCTTGAAATCATGGGTAAATATGTTATTTTAGCCTATTATTACACACTATACCCTCTTCTCAGAAAGTATCTGTGGCTAATACAGTACGAGCTGAAAATAATTTGCACTTATCTGATGGTTTATTGTGTAACTGCATTCATCACAGAATAACAACAAAGAAGACCTTTTATGAAGTAATGTGAACTAGGTGGATTAAGGAAAGCCTTGCAAAATCACCTGCAAGTTCAGACATCTCAGTAAATGAATGTCTGTTTTCCTGACTCCCACTTACGCTGCAAACACTAACAGTGTAACTACCACTCTGAAGAAGGTATACAGCAGTGCTTCTCAACCTTCCTAGTCCCGTGACCTTTTAACACAGTTCCTCATGTTGTGGTGACCCCCAACCATTAATTACTTTCATTACTACCTCGTAGCTGCAATTTTGCTACTGTTATGAACTGTAGTGCAAACATCTGTGTTTTCCAATGATCTTAAGCAACCCGTGTGAAAGGATTGTTTGATCCTCCAAAAGGGCTGCAACCTATAGGTTGAGAACCACTGATATATGGGATTAAAACTGCCCTTATGAACATAACATATTATCTCATCAAGGCTATCCTAAGTTGTTGACAAAAATCTTACATATTTGTTTTCAGTTATAATAAATGTATGAAGATATGACTTGAGAATTTTTTACTATTCCAAGAAAATTGGGCACTAAATGATTAATAGAATCCTAGACAGCCATACTAAAGCAATTTAATGAGGATAAATAACTCAGAGTAGTAAATACTAATAATGGTTGTAAAGGCAGTAATTACTCTATCTTTTAATGGTGCATGCTTTTGTCATCTCTACACAAAGGATGCATTTATTAACCTTTGAATTTCCAACACAGTGTCTAAAACACAATAAGCACTCCACAAAAACTTGCAAAAGATATAAATTAATTGACGGGAATAGGCATTCTTTTAAAAATTCCTGTCATGCTAGCAATGTTCCAAATTGTAGCGATGATGTCATCATTCCCTGACAGAGTAAGTATGGGATCATGTATGCTACCTTCCTCATACTCCTCAGGCATATTTTAGAGTTAAAATCACGTCACAAAGAGCTTGTACAGTCAGATGGCATCTTAGAGAGGATTTGAGTCCCTATATGTTATAGATAAGAAAAGAGATTAAGAAAGGCAAAGAAACTTGTAAATCATATTGTTGATAGGAGAGTCAAGACCAAGCCCTCAGCGCCTGGTTCCCAGGCCAGAGTTTCCTTTTAATGCATCATGAGCCATTAGCCTAATTATTGGTTACATTTTCTGGAGAGTGCTTTTACTTTTCCCTATCCATTGAGCTATAGACACCCTAAAAATAATTACTTATCTATATAGTTCCTATTTTATTATAATGTTTAGTATCTCATATAGATATAACAGGAATCAAATCCCCAATAACCAATGCCATCATCTCTACTATTAAGTATCATTATTTATTTTCTTCATTTTTGGTTTGTTGTTTTTGTTTTCAGACAGTCTCATGTATCCCAGACTGGTCCTCAGCCGACTATGCACACAAGGCTGGCCTTGAACTCCTGATTCTCTTGCCTCCATCCCTGAGTACTGGGATTATAGGTGTGCACCACTAAAATAAAAATATAAATGCAGTTTTGAGCTTAATCTACTCCTAAGGGGCACTGGCAAATTCAAGTTTCACATATTTTGTGTGAAATAAACAATAACAACAACAAATGGATGAGTTCTTCAAATAATCATTGCTTGCTATATGATCCAATTTTAGAGTCCTGGTTGATAAAATCATTTATTTCTTAGATAAAAGGCAAAAAAAAGAAAGAAAAGAAAAGAAATAAAGGAATTATTGAAACACACAGTATTCAAGATGAAATAAAAATGTAAGAGGTATTAATGATAATTATAATCCTCTTCTATAAGTCACTGAAAATGGATATTGAACACTTTGCAGTCTCTAAAATCTCCAAAGGAAAGTGTACTATAAAAGGCAATTCTGCCAGGGAAGAGCATGTCAATTGGCTACCTAATATCAAATGGTCAGCCCTGAAAATATATATACAAGTAACATTATACAGACTGAGCAGGATGTATTTACGTATTTAAGAATATATGTGTATATATATATGTATATATGTATACATAGATAATATATGTAATAACAATTAATGAAAAAAGGAACCATGAACTTGAAAGAGAACAAGGAGGGATATATGAATTTGGAGGGAGGAAAGGGAAGGGGAAATGATGTAATTATATTATAATATCAAAAAATAAAAGATACAATTTAAAAACTAAAAGAAAAAAGTACCCATTTGCAAATGTACTGAGACACTTTAATCCCTCACAAATAGTTCGGTTTGTCATGATTTTAGACTGCTGCATTCCATTTTTCTCCAAAATATATTCACTAATTTATCAAAATAAAAACTTCTGATTAAAAAAACAATTCTTAACTAAGACTAACCAAGCTATATCGAGAGTCTTAATATATCTTTATTATTTTTTCTTTAAAAACAGTTTCTTTATATTTGATGTAAAGCTTACAACAAACCCTATTTTTTTGTTATTTCTGCAGAAATCGTGTAATGTGTATTGCATATTTGTTTTTAACTTGCATACTTTTAGCCTACAAGGCTCTATTCTGGTTTCATTTTCTTTAGGATTAGCGTCGCTAAACTAAAAATCACATTTTTCGTTTGTCTTTTCAACCTTTCTGACAGGAAGTACAGATGGTGGACATAATAATTTAAGGCTTATGTCACAATCAGTCATCAGCTGAGCGTCATGGGGCTTTGTTTGTACACTAACCTGTGATAATAGAAGTCTTGGGCCCTTCCTGCTAATGACTAACCAGAGTTGATGTTCCTGTTCATTGTAAGCCTCAGGAGAAGCTTCCAGCAGGCTGGAATCATGATCCCTAAAATGAATGTGGGTAGGATTACCTGTCCCCATAGGTGAAATTCATTTCATAGACATCTTTTAGAAACTTAACAAAAGGTGATTCTTTATCCATTATGCTTTGTACCTTACCACATACATCCCAATGGTCTTTTAATTTACAATTGAAATTGGTAAAATACTAATATAGTAAATTAAGTAAAACACTTGAGGTAGATGCTAAATTCAAACTATAAGACATCGAATTATATATGTATATAGACTATTTTATATTTAGTAATTATTAAAAATAGCCTTTAAAACGTTTTTGAGACAGTTTCATTGTGCAGTCCTGGCACTGTGCATAGTGGTTTCAAAGTCACAGAGATCCACCTGCATCTGCTTCATGAGTGCTGAGATGAAAAGTGTGCACCACCACACCTGGATAAAAACAGTCTTATGTATAACTATAGAAGAAGAAGAAGAATGTTGCCTAACTAGATTTAAAAAGTCTATAAACTAGCGGGGAACTTCCAGTGCCATGAATGTGGTAACAAAAATCTGTTTGACCAGAACAAGTAAAAGAGGTCGTAAGAGAATGTACAGATGTAGCTGAAGTGTTGAGATAAACAGATGTGGTGGCATTTCTGGTCGGCTACATTAGAAAGAAGAGGGAGATTGGAGATAGACACAGGGAACTTGGGATCTGGTTGACAATGAGCAAAGGGAGGTCATTCCAAGCAGATGAAGCAGCAATAGTAAATTGATGAGCAGGAAAGAGCGGGGAATATGGGAGATTAGATCTTGGAAATGTGCTGGTATGTGTAAGAGGTAAGTCAAGATCTTAGTGGCTGGACATGAGTTTGAATGATATTCAACATGAAATAAGAAAGAATATCTAAAGGTTGGAGTCATGTTATACATAGAAGCATCAGCGTTCCAACTGACTAAAGGAGAAATGCATGATGGGAAGTGAGCAGAAGGTAACATCTGTATGATAAAGAATGAGGAAGGTGGGTGGATTCAGCAGTCAAGAGCACTTGCTGCTCTTACAGAGGACCTACATTTAATTCCCATAGCCTACGTGGTAGCTCACAAACTGCCTGTAACTCCAGCTCCAGAAGATTCAAAACCCATGACCTCTGAGGCAACTACATTCACATACACTACCCATGCACAGACACACGTGCATATAACTAAACCCAAAATAAGTTTTGAAAGAAAAAAAAAAAGCAAGGAAGATATACACATGCAGACTAAAGTGGAAAAGAAAGACAATGTTTAAGAAGGCTATGACAAAAAGAAACCAGCTTGATTTGATGATCTAGTCACTAAAAATTCAGCAAATACTCATAGAATACTTTCATGATATAAGACTTTGTTAAAAAAAAAAAACAAAGCAAAGCAAAGCAAAAACAAGCATTCAATTAAATTCAAAGCAGATGCTTGTGCGCAGGAAGATGGCGGCAGAGGGACGGGACCTAGAGCGCTGTTTGTGGCTGAAGCACCTTCTGGAACTCGCAGAGCTAGTGCTCAGAGAGGAGACTTCCAGGTCAGATCCAGCTCTTACCCTCCACGTCTTGTGTCCGAAGTGTGTGGTGGTTTTCACCACTGCTGGTGCCTTCCCTTGAGTTTCAGAGAGACAACCAAGGGCGACCTCGATGGCCTGTGTTGTTTGGGGGTGCTCTTGGACTCTCCTGACAGACAACTCGAAATGACATGTCACGTGTCTGGCACTGGCGGCTTTGATAAATAACTTGTGGTTTTGGGGAGAAGCATTGTCATCCCAGGTGGCATAATTCCATTTAAACTCGATATAATATAGGTAAAAATGTGTGTTATATATAAAATTTTAGGTAAACATAAAATAATATTATTCCCTATGGCTTTCCAAACATTCTTGGTGTTATTTGTTCCTCCCCTCTCCCTCTTCCTCTCTATTACCCTTCCTTCTCCCCAGCTAAAGTTCCTAGCCTCTTCTCCCCATGTACCCCTTCATAGCACCTGTGGATGACTATTCCTCTTTCTAGAACACCCCCCCCCCCCCGATTCCCCTTTTTACTTTCCTGGCTTCTGAGGTTACTCCAGGTTATATACTCACATCTAAAAATTCACATCTAGGATCCACCAATAAGGGACACCAACAGGGTGTTTGTCTTTCTGGACAAACTAAGGGTTACCTCACTTAGTATAATATTTTGTTACTTGTAAATTTCATGATTTCATTTTCTTTACAACTAAATAATATTCCACTGTCTATATGTGCCATATTTTCAACATCCATTCATCAATTGGAAGACATTGATCAATTGAACGGGGAGGAAGCCCACAGAGTAGAAGAGAATCTTTGCCAAGAATATATAAAGAATTCAAAACAGAGCCAAGAAATCAAATGGCCCAGTTAAAAATGGCTTATGGATGTGAACAGAGAGTTCTCTAAAGAACAAATCAAAACTGCTAAGAAGTATCTTTAAAAGTATTCAACATTGTTAGAAATCAGGGAAATGTAAATATACAATACTTTGCTACTTCATGCCTGACAGTAAGATCTCATTGCCGAAGACGCCACATACTTGAGTCATAGCGAACATGAGGACATCTAGCTGGTAGTCAACTGGAAGAAGCTTCATCCCTACTGTCTGCTTTCATGGTGCTGAATGGTGCTATGCATGCTACAAGAGAAAAGCAAGCCTATCACAGCCAGCTGTGAACCTTGCAAATTACATTAATGACTGGCCTAGCAAAACATGCCCACTGGTACAATGGAGGCACAAATTTTACAGGAGTAATCAACCACTTTTTCATTGGACTTAAGTATGACACTATCAATAGAGCCAAGGACTTGTGGCTACAAAGGTCATGGGCCCAAGGGGAAAATCTGCTAGCATATTCTGCTAAAACACATAGCATTAAAATGATTCCTAATAACATATTGCTAAAGCCACAGATCAGTGCACCGTTCAGCCTTCATCAGAGAAGCGTCTTCTTGAAGTAGATAGCAATTACCATAGAGACTCCAATTGGTTAACATGCAAAGAATAACAGACTTCAGAGTGCTCAGTCCTAAATGGTACATCAGTATAACAACCCTCTTCTCAAGGCTCAGGAATCTCGTGGACAAGAGGCTGGGAAGATTGTAACAGCCAGGGGTAGTGGATGGCATTTGCCAGACACAGGGGAACAGAAGCACCTATAAACTCAGAGCAATGTGACCATGTGACAGTGTGACAGCAAGCTCAAGCCAGACAGAACCCCAGCCCAAGAGCGGGGAGCAGGGAGGGGGGCATGAGGTCCCAACCCTAGCTGAAGAGCTCTTGCTGTTTAATTGCTGCTGAGAGAGGAAAAGTCAGTTTTCTTTAAGAGTGTGACACCTGGTCGACCTGGGCAAGCCCCACACTCATGAGTAGTTAGCCAATACATACCGGACTTGATGGGAAAGGAAGACATGAAGTTTGGGTAAATGGGGGAGGATCTTGGAGGAATTTGGGAAGGGAGATGAATATGAGCAAAATACATTATATAGAATTCTCAAAGAATTGAGAAAAATATTATTTTGTAAAAGAATATCTACGTCAAATGTTGGGCCATATGCTGTCTTTTATTAGATTGGTAAAGATTCTACAATTAAACACATTTCTTATAGCGATGTTATGAACAGAAATCAAATAAATTGAAGGAAAGTACCACAAGGTCATGCACACAGTAATGCTCAATGCATTTTGGTTTTCATTTTTGTCCAGTGAATTATAGCCTGACATACACAAAAGTTTTCACTGAACTGTTCAACTTTATTACAATGTAAATTACTGCGGTCCTGAGGAACAATATGGTGGCATCATGTTTAGTTTCTTGATATACAAATGGAGGCTTGCATATGCTATTACTGTGCCTAATAGTTTCATTTGACTTTTAAACAAATACAGCACAACATTGCTATGCAGAATGGGAAAATTGATGGAAGCAACCTGGAAAGTGGTCCGCAGCAAGCCCCCTCGACTCCTCCCAACACCCCAGATCCCCGAAGCCCTCCAAATCCAGAGAACATCGCACCAGGTAACTAAGCATCCTCAAATGGAACAGTAAAATTTCTTTGTATTTAAAAATGCTACTCGTTGACATTTCATTAAGTGGCATTTAAATGATGCAACTTTTCTCATTATATTTTGTTCATAAGTTTAAGACAAAAGTAAAATTTAAGTTTGAAAGAATCATGTAAAATATTTATAATAGTTATATATTCTTTCAGACAGTCCATGATACTCCTTTTTAAAATTTTTATTTATTTAGGGTTTGTGTATGTATGAGTGTGTGTGTGTGTGTGTGTGTGTGTGTGTGTGTGTGTGTGTGTGTGTGTGTATGTATGGGTGGTGGTGTGAGACTTCTGCTGAGTGCATGTGGAGGTCAGAAGACAGCTCTCAGGAGTCAGCTTTTTCATGGTTTATGTTCTCTGAAAGGATTTATATGCAGTCTGTAAAGCATGGATTTCATTAGGTGTAGGTGGCTCATTCCTTTAATCCTAGTAGTCTGGAAGCTAAGGCAGGAGGTTTATGACTTTCAGGCCAGTCTGGGCTACTTAAACTCTGTCTCAAAAGAAACAAACAATATCAACAATAACAACAAAACCCACAAACAAAAAAAGAACATAGTCTTTTAGCTTGTTTTAAAAACAAATCCTATTATGTTAATATGTATTATTTAGAAATGTTATTACATGCTGAGAGATATCTTTAGGAAAAATTATATTAATCAATTAGTAACTTTTCAAAATAAACTATAGCAAGTTTTTTTTGTCTTTAAAAATTCAAATATTGCCTTAAGAGTAATATGCAAAGTAATTTTTTTAATTTATGGAACTAAACTGTGAAATGAGCAATATCTCTTGAGTTCTAGAAAATGAATAAACAATTTAGGAAAAGCATTTCAAGAGTTTTCCTCAAAGAGTGGTAATAAACGATTTTTGAATATAGGTGAGGCAACTCACTAACATTTAATCTTTAAAGAGAAGTAAGTTGAACATCACCGCTGCTGAATTTAGATCATTTAGAAGCATTCTGATTGATCACATTGAGGAAAACCACAGACATACTAAAACAACATTGCAGAAGAACAAGTAAGCACAATTCAACTGCACAGTATTCTAAGATTAATGTGGTAACAAAGTTCTTCCGTTGTTCCAAACAGAAGCTACGGCAGAAAGCGAGCTTCCAGCTCACAGTGGCCGAGTTCAATGCCATGATCTGTCCACCCGCTCCTTTTCATTTTACTGTTGCACTGTTAAAAAATTAATTTATTTTGGTTTGACTTTTTTAAATCTTTAAAATAAGGAAAACAAGTTAGGGTGAGAACTAAGTATGATGAGTATTGTCTTTAAGATATGACGAGTGCTTGGTTAATTTTTTAAATTTATTTATTTAATTTTACATTTTCAATTAAAATATAATTATCACTTTCTCCATTCCTTTCGTCACTCCAATCCCCTCCATGTCCCCTTCCTCCAATCCCTCTCCACTCTCAAATTGATTGCCTCTTTATTATTATTATTACATATATATTATTTATATGTGTGTATATTATCATTACATATATATACATAAATACAATCTGTTGAGTCTATGTTTTTTGTTTGTGTGTATATGATTTCAGGGCTGACTATTAATACTTAAATATTTTTCTTTCTTTTCCTTTTTCTCTTTTCTTCTTTGTTTTTGGTTTTGTTTGTTTGTTTGTTTTGAGACAGGATTTCTCTGTGTAATAGCCCTGGCTATCCTGGACTTACTCTGTAGACCAGGCTGGCCTCGAACTCAAGAGATCCACCTGCCTCTGCTCCCTGAGTGCTGGGATTAAAGGTGTGTCCCATCACAGCCTAGCTAAAATTAGTGTGTGTATGAAGAATTTCATAACAATAAGGCTACAGTGGGTACTTAACTCTTCTTTTAAAATGATTTTTTTGAGTCTAATGTAAAATAACATAAGAGCACATTTAAAAATAATAGTTTTGTTTAAATAAATTTAAATTAGACTCAAGGGAAAATAACATGATTTGGAAAAGCAAATCATTAAAAGTGTTAATAAATAACAATGATAATAATAACAATAATAATAAGTGTCTTCTTTTCTAAGGTCCTTAAATTTAAAAGAGTTTTTAAATGTCTCCACTTCAGTTTGCTGCTTTCTGTTGACTCATAGAAAGGGTTTGTCCTGAACTTACCCCAGCAAGAAACACTAAATGCAGGAAGATGTTAGGTGGCATTTAGTAAATGAGGGGCACTCTGTGTATTCACTTTTGCTGTTTCCAAAGGATATTCTGGACCACTGAAGGAAATTCCTCCTGAAAGATTTAACACGACGGCCGTTCCCAAGTACTACCAGTCGCCCTGGGAGCAGGCCATTGGCAGCGACCCCGAGCTCCTGGAGGCTTTGTACCCGAAACTTTTCAAGCCGGAAGGAAAGGCAGAACTACCTGATTACAGGAGTTTTAACAGGTAACTCAGTTATCCAGCGTGACTCGGTGGATGTGTGAGACCCAGACAATCTCACGGCCAGAGAGGGAATCGAATCCTCTGTAGAAAACCAGCTTTGATCTTAAGAAAATCATCTACATACAAACACAGGTGTCTAAGTCTGAGTGAACACTCATTTTTTTTGCACTAATACTCTAAAAGTTTTAACTGGTTAATTCACTGGAGTCTATATGAAAAAATTCATAAAAATAATGAAAGTTTTAAATTTTACCATTTATTTATTTATTTATTTATTTATTTATTTATTTATTTATTTATATTCATCCATTTTGTTTGTGTGGTGGGAGGTCAGCGCATGTGCCATAGCACATGCAGAGGCCAGAAGAGAACCCGCAGGGGTCTGTTCTTGTTTTCTACCAAGTAAGACCCAGAGATTGAACTCAGGTCATCAGGCAGAACTTCAAGGGCCTTCACCCAGTGAGCTGCCTTTTAGGCACAATCATCTTTTTTTTTTTTTAAGTTATTTAAAAGCTATGAAGACAGTCAATTATCTTGAAGACCAAAATCTCAGGGGGGAAAAAAGGAAAATTTAGAATCTAAACGCAATATTTGATGTCACTTTTCTGAGGCAGGTGCTCACGGGTAAAACATAAAAGGCCGAGAGGGTTAGCAAAACCGAGCAGTCTGGAGCATGTGATGAGCAGGAAGAGATTAGGGTCTTTCACGGAGAAGCCCTGCTGTCTACTCCAGGCTTTCTGGTAGAAATCATTAACACATCCCTTAGAGTAAAGGCAAGCTCTAGACCAGCCTTCAACACACTCCATGTGCCTTCAATCAGCAGTGGCAAGATGGGCAAATACTCCCTCCTCCCAGTCACGCAGCTGCTGAGACAAAAGTCAGTCCTTTTGGATGATACAACTTTAGACTCAAATCATCTTTACGACTGTTAAGTTTCTGTCAACTTTTTATTATGATAAAACACGTAGTATAAATTGGACAACTTTAACCACTTTTTAAAAGACCACGTGTGTTCCTGGTGTCCATGGAGGTCAGGAAAGGGCACAAGGTCCCCTGGAACTGGAGTTACAGATGGTTGTGTGCCACCATTTAAATGCCGGGAATCTAGAAACCTGCAAGAGCAGGGCATGCTCTTAACTGCTGAGCCATCTTTCCAATCCCTCACTTATAATCATATGATAACTATACTCACAATATACGTAACTACTACCACCGTCCCCAAGACACATTTCCTTGTAAGACCCCAACTCCCACATCTGTTAGACAATGATTTTTATGCACATTCCTAGTCTCCGACCAGCCACGATTCTACTTTCTGTCCTTACGATTTTCCCTACTCTAAATATTTCTTATAAGTGACATCATATAGTATTTGTCTTTTTAGATTGGCTTAGTAGAATGTCCTCCAGTTTAAAATTTATTTGGTGTTTATATTACTATAAAATTCAAAATATTGACTACTTCTAGGGGCAGCAGGGTTTATGACTGAGCAAGGATGCATATAATGCTCTACAGTAGTTCCTAAGATGTATGGCAATTCCAAGATGGTTGTATACATGTCATGGGACAATGTTCCCGCTGAACACGGGGGGGAGGGGGGGGGGGATTCACAGAGCAAGGGAAGCAGGGGACATATGTGCAGCAGCCATGCCAATCTGTGGGAACAGGACCCTGTGGAGGAGTTAAAGCGACATGGGAAGGACTGATGGCCAAGACTTTTTCAAACTTGCTAGAAGACACGAAGCTTCAAGAAACACCACGAAAGCTGAGAAGTGTGAGTGAGGCAGGAAGGAGGAGGTTCTAAGGCCCAGGATTAAAGTATCTCTTCAAAGAATTAAAAGCAAGTTGATTTCCTAACTAAAATGATGGAAGTCAGGAAATAACACCTGAAATCATAACATAACTACCAATTTATAAAGTATTCCTTAACAGTCAAAGTTAAATTTACATACACATTTTCAGACACAGACAATTGTTGGTCCCTACTAGACAGTAAGACAAGAATAACAAACAGGGTTGCCATTGTTCACAGATGGCATGGTTATGCCCACAAACATCCGAAAGGAGCTACAGACAATCACCAGAATGAGAAAGGAAATGTGGCAGGAATACAGAGTGCTAAGTCAGCATGAAATACACCAGGAACAAACCGCTAGAAAACAAATCATTTTCATTATTTCATGGCCTGTAATCTATGATTTGTGAGTGCTTCTTTGTTTATCTTGTACTTCAATAAAAATTGTATTGTAAAACTCTCCTAGAGACAAAGTAACTCCAATAATGATCTCTAACCTGTATAAATTCAATGTGACAAAGGCCCTTCATTTTAATTTGTCAGAATATAGTCCAGTCATTTAAAAAGAGAAGCTCAAATAATTTCCAGGTATAAAATGGATTTTTCCACATTGTATGTCAACACAATTTTATTTTCTCAAACTACTAATGATTCTGAGAATATAATTTGACCAAGAATTTAGTTCCTCAACTATTATGCATATGTTTCAAAAGTAAAATGCAGTAGTATTGTTTCTCTCCCTATATTTACTAAATTATTCAATATGTTACTACACTGAGACTTCATGCTGATGTAATGTTTTCTCATTTTTGTAAAACAAATGGTAAAGACACATACACACACACACACACACACACACACACAGAGAGAGAGAGAGAGAGAGAGAGAGAGAGAGAGAGAGAGAGAGAGAAGGTTCCACATATCCTAAAGTCCTTGCAAGAAGTAAATCGCTGCGGTTTGGTGCCCCCATGTTCTTAGGCATAATCACTGGATATTAACAAAGGGTAAGGTGCAAGCTAACACTCAGTGGTGATAATGATTGAAAGAAAACTGACTCCCAAGGATAATTACAATCTCAAAATGATCAGGATCTGAATACAACTTTTTGTTCTTATATTCCTTTTGTATGTATTCAAACTTCATGCTACATTCAGACCCGTGGAGCACAAGAGAAATAAGCTGAGAGAGAGGAAATTCCTGGCTTTGCTTCAAATTGCTGTATGATCTTAGGTGCAACGTTTAACTTAATTTTCTCACCCTTAGAATATATTTTATGATTAAAGTGCTTTAAATATAGCACACTTATTTGCTATTTGATAGAATAATTTATTTTTTTAATTTCTATGCAAACGTTTTACCTTGCAGAAAAAATTAACAATTATCATGAATATATTATACATCCAGTGCTGTTTAATTTTACAAATGGACATCAGAGTGAATAAGAAAGCATCAATCTGTGAATCTGAGAGATACAGGCTTGCTATTCACTACATAGATGACATAATATGAAAACCATTTTAACTCAGATCTATTTCTGAAAAGTTAGTATTATGGAAATTATAGAGATACAATTCCATTTTAAACGAAGACTTGGAGTCTTTCCACTGGAAATTTGTGCTCCACTAACTTGGAATGAAGCTTGAAAGTATTTCCATGGACCTGAAACACCTTATAGTCTCCCACTCTGGATACTGGATTCTCCTTCATGTCTGTGGAAAGGGTAATGGAGCCCAAATCAACAGGATGTTGTCTCAGAGGTGCCAAAGAAAAGAAAACTGTTTTCCTAACAGCAACCTCCACTGGACCTGTAGTGGGAGCTAAGAGATGGGTGATGGAACAGAAGGAATATTGTCCTTTACAAGTCAAGAAAACTACTCACAGCTTCTTCAGAAAAAATAACCTGCATTGGCTAAAAACCAGGAAGACAGTACACTGAATGCCAAACCTAAGCAGCGGGTTGAGAGGTAGAGAGCTCTCCCTTTGAGATTTAATTCAGAAAATGCATTTTAAAACAAGTAAATTTTATTTCTGGAATAACTATAAAATCACTTGACCAAATTCTGCTTACTTCAGAAATGTTCGACTCCAGCCTCTTATCTAATGTGTGTAACCATTCATAAAACCCCAGTAATGAGTGTTCTGTGCAGAGACCATGTAAAACAGCCATGCTTGATTCAGTGGCTCTATTGTTCCTATCTTGAAACTCTCTGTCTCTCTGTCTCTCTGTCTCTCTCTCTCTCTGTGTCTCTCTCTGTCTCTCCCTCCCTCCCTCTCTCTCTCTCTCTCTCTCTCTCTCTCTCTCTCTCTCTCTCTCTCTCCCCCCTCCTCCTGATTCTCCCCCTCTCCCCCTCCCCTTTCCCCTTTTTCTTCTGTGTTCTTACTGTGGGAAATTGACCCCAGGACATTGCCAAATGCTAGGCATGGCCTCTACTACTCAGCTCTATCTCCAGTCTAAAATAATTAATAAATTGGTACAGAGGACTCTGTGTTATCTTATCAAGACTTCCTGATGAGTGAATTTAAGTGGTGTTCTTCCTCTTGGACTTAAATCCACAATGCTATAAGTACCATGTTTTATTTTTCTTCATGGCACTCATTACCTCCTATATGGTCAATCCATTCTCTTTCCATGAATGTCCCTCTCTATAACGCAGACACCAGTGAAAAGTTGTACCACTATGTCCTATTTTTACCATGACTTTAGCATTTATAATGGTACCTGGAACCTAGTAGGCATTCATTAAACATCTATGTTGAATAATGAATTGGTCTTATATAATGTTTGGGAATCCCTGAATGTTAAGCAATTTATCTTAGAATATTGGTTCTCAACATGTGGGTCACAACCCCCTCCCTGTTCCTCCCCTAGGCAAGCTGATTCATCCATAACCCTCTTCAATGACTCTTTTTGGCTTATAGCCTCTTCTCCCTTCTTTCAGGAAAGTTATAATCTGTCAATCAATGGCTCTGATCATGATCTCAATGCACTTTTTTTTCCCCACTGGAAGCTTGATTATCCTCAATATCAACTCTCACTTGCTTTATTTGTTGTATTGTCTGCTTCCTGTACATTCCGGGAGACTTTTCCAACACAATTCAGTATAGTATGCCTTTATTACAGGAAAACGAGTTGACTAACTTCTAAAGGGATTACAATGTCTTTGACAGTAATGACGATGCCTTTGGTTTCTCCTCACATTCTTCTAGCACATGCTGAGAAACAATGGATTTTCATAATTGCTATTTGGTATTCTTAGATGGATTAGGATAAAATGTGCTAATGGAGGCATATGATCTTTCTAGAAAAAATATAGCAGAGTACTAACAAGGTGGAACGCTGAGACTATTTCTAGGAATATACATATATTAAATACTTGGCAAACAAGAACCCAGTGATGGGAATGTAGTTCAGGGGTAAGGTGCTTGCCAGATTGCACAACGTCCTGAGTTTGACCCTGAGTACAACAAAATAAAGAAACAGAAACCCTTGAATCCAACACATAAGGAGAAATCCATGTCACATGTGTGAATAAAGATTAATAAGTTAGGGTTCAACTTAATTGATACAGGCTCAATTTTAGGAACTTACTGTTATTATATAATTATAAAACAACAAATATTGCAGAGTAAAAAAGAAAAAACCCATGGTGAACACAGTGTCCAGTGAATGTTTTAGAACAAGATTTGTTTTCGAAGTTTGACAAAATTTTCAAGTCAGTCTATAAAATTTCAAGTGTTTCTGAGCTAACATAGTTTTAAAATATTTTTAGAATTATTTTCTCTATTCTGTGTAATCATTTTTAAAAGACTATGGCAAATTATATGGAAAGTTAAAAGCCACATAAAATATTTCTGAGTCTGGCATGTGTCCGAGTAGCTGTATATTTGTGAATCATTTGTGTGTAACCTTGGATTCAAACCCAATCCCCCTCCAAAAAACATCAACAAAATAAAAATTTCCTCATACCATTAAAGATATTTTGAACCAAAATGCAGTCATTAAACTCTTTCAACTCCTGCTCTCTGAGGCTGTATTAACACTGACCACCAAATTAGTTAAAGCTGTCGTGACTGAAGCTTGAAATGCTGTTGGTTGCACGACACTTCCTGTGCCCTTTGCACGGTTTTTCTAACGAATTGAATTCAAATCTTAATGGCTGACTGGTGGAAAAAGAGATCCTGTGAAGTTAAAAGAATAACGAACAGCCAATAGCAGCTCCCAGCGGGGAAGCTTTATGGACACTACAGTGCATGGATTGAGAAAATGGGAAGGACACTGAATAGAACCTTCCTTCCGGCAGACTAAAACAATTAAACAACTCAAAATTGATTATTCAAAAGTTGGTAGTGCCCATTGTACATACTAATGCTCTAGTATTTCTTTAATAGAAGGCAAACAGACTGTACTTAAGATATTCAAGAAAGAGAGCAAAGTGATCGAGATGTAAAGAAAATTAGATCCTGTCCATGTCTTTCTAAAGTGTTCCCCATTATACTGGAAAACATAAGTTTTGCCCACTCCTGTTGTCCGGATGTCTGTGTGGAATCTTCTGGTAGAATGCACTATGCAAGCATATTGTAATAAGTTACAACACACAGCAGAGAGAATTCCAACCCTTCTGGAGTTCAGTAAAGTAATAAATAACAGATAAACCAATACCAAAAAAATGAAAAGTTAGAAGGCAGAGTTTGTGAAAACATGGTTTCAAGGCAAGGAAATCTTCAAGAAGTTATGAGTTTAAACTTAAGGAGTGTTTGGAATGTATTAGAACAAGAGAATTCCAAACAGAGAAAGAAAAAAAAAAAGGAGGTGAGTAGAGGCAACATGATGGTGAGCATAAGCAGGAAGGAAAATCAGCTTCCTACCTGGCCAAAACCAAGTGTACATGCAAGTGAAGAGGGCCAACACAGTGTGACTGCCCTCTCAAGTCACGTTCCCACCTGCACATCAGTCAAAAACTCTCAACCTTGCCACCTGCTAGTTGCTAAAACTCCAAACCTGTGAGTTGTCCTTGATGTTCCCATTCCTCCTATATTTTTATCTGATTTATGAGAAAATGCTGTCACTCTGCCTCCAAAACAGACCTTGAAACACTTGGTCTCCCATCTTCACAGATAGCACCTGGAATACAAACCAGAACTTCTCACGGGTTGCCGCTCTTGACCTCTGATAATCTATTCACATGGCAATTAGAATTCTCGTTACAAAGTTTAACCAGGTCATATTGCTCCCCCTCCAACAGTTTCCCTTCATACTCACAGGAAATCCACTTTTTAAAAAGATTTAGTTATGTGTGTGTGTGTGCGTGTGTGTGTGTGTGTGTGTGTGTGCGCGCGCGCGCACGCATGTGCACAGAAGCCAGAAGAGGGCGTCCTGTCTCTTGGAGCTGGTGTTTCAAGTGGTTGTGCATTACAGGATACTGGTGCTGGGAACCAAACTCTGGTCTGAAGGAAGAGTAAGCACTCTTAACCACTGAGCCATCTCTTCAGCTCCCATATATCCTCCTTAGACAAAATCCCACAGATCAGCCTGTGTACCTCTCTTGCCTTCCTCTGCTAATCTAGACAGATAGGTCTTCTTCCTTTCCCGGAACTTTCCAAAACTTTGCCTTTGACTATTCTCTGTAGTAGACATGCTGTTGCAAATTAGCCAAATTCTAATGGCTAAGCTCTCCTTTTCAGAAGATAGTTTAAATGTCACCGCCCCCCCCCCCCCGAGAACTATATGTGATGATTCAATCTATAGAAACTAAACACTCAGTTATTCACAGCATCATCCTACTTAAATTTGCTGCATAGCTCACCCCTGTCGATGTTTTCTTGTGTTTGTTTGTATGTTATGTCTCCTTCACTCCATGGGTTCTAAGGCTGTATTATCTGCATTGTTCGTTTAGAACTGTGCCTGGCAATGACTGAGCAAACAATGTCTAACATAAAACAAGTCAGAAATTTATGTGAGATCCTGTATGCAATGGTAGAGGTTAGATTTTTATTCAGAATTAAGTGGGGGAATTTTAAAGATTTTGGGGTTTTTTTTTGGAATTATGTTTTAATTACAACATTTCTCCCTTCCCTTTCCTCCCTCCAAACTCTCCTGTATAAACCCTCCCTGCTCTCCTTCAAATTCATGGCCTCTTTTTGCAAATTTTAAAGATTTTAAGGTGAATATAAAAACATACACAAGACACATTTCTTACCTGCAAAGAGTTTGGAATCCACAGTTGACCCTAAACAAATAATAATCTCTAAAACATACACGAACAATACAGATTACCACACCCCCAGTACCACTCGGTTAATAGAGACAATCCCTACCACAGGAATCTAATGAAGGGCTGGGGTAGTTGGAGGGAAGACAGAACTGAAATACCACAGGCATCAAATAAAACAGACAGCAAAAGCAGAGGCAAGAATTCAGGGAGCAGATTTATCCAAAACTAAGAGTACTTCCAAAGGGGCCCCACGACAATTTGTTATTTTTCTGTTTTACTATCAATGCATGGACCTTCAGTGAAATCGCTTGATCCCAAGGCCCCAAACTGAAAAATATCAGTCAAAGACCATAATAACAGGTCCATAAAATTATGAGATTGTTTGTATTTTATAACAAAATTGAATATTAATTATTATTTGCTTTTCTTTTGATTCCCACAGAGTTGCCACTCCATTTGGAGGTTTTGAGAAAGCATCAAAAATGGTTAAATTCAAAGTTCCAGATTTTGAACTACTACTGCTAACAGATCCCAGGTTCATGGCCTTTGCCAACCCTCTTTCAGGCAGACGGTCCTTTAACAGGACTCCAAAGGGGTGGATATCGGAGAATATCCCTGTAGTGATAACTACCGAGCCTACAGAAGACACCACTGTGCCAGAATCAGATGACCTGTGACAAGGAGGCTGGGTATGCCACAGAAATCTCTGCAAATAAAAGCTGCTGTTATCCTACATGCTGGCAAAGCCATTTAAGTTCTCCATTACGATAATCATTTAATCTCAGTTAAGTACATTTCATTTCAAGGCATTTAATTGGAATTCAGCAATTAAATTCTTATTAAAAAACTTAAGTCATTTGTATTCATTCATAACTTTATTACCATACTTAGCTTTCTGTTTTAAATAATCTAGCCTTTTCACTGTGAAGGTTCAGATGGAAAAGTAGCTGAAAGAAGTTTTCTTTGTCTCAATGAGTTATTCAAGAAAACTAATGTCAACTCTAGAGTCAAAGCATATAGTAAGATATGTGTGGTCATTCAGAATTTTATTTGAGGGGTGAGAGTTATGTGAGATGATCTACAGATATTTTTACTGAATATGAGGGTTAGGTACTTCCTATCTGGTACCATGGCAGCATAGCACACTTGGATATGTTTTCTCTTTAACTGTTAGAATGATAAATGCCTATGTATTTTTTACTTGTTTTAAATTATTAACATTCTTGAGTGAGATTGGGCTATTGAATTCATCTAGTATTGTTAAGAAGACTAGGAGGTGGTGATTCAGGGAAGAGAATCTAATATACTACTGCAGTTTTGATGACAAATGTGTTCTTAGAATTCAAGTTCCCCAAATCTCGATACTACTGTTTGAGTTTCTTTGGACTGCCAGCTCCCAAATAATGATGCGAAGACTTCTTATTAACTATGAAAGCTTGGCCTTAGCTTAGGCTTGTTCCCAACTAGCTTTTATAACTAAAATCAACCCATTTATATTAATCTATGTTCTGCCATGTGGCTTGTTACCTCTGCTCAGTACTGTGCATCCCACTTCCTCCATGTCTGGCTGGTTAATTCTGTCTCTTTTTCCCAGAGTTCCTATCTCTTCCTGGAAGTCTTGCCTATCCTCTGCTGCCTAACTATTGGCTGTTCAGCTCTTTATTAAACCAATCAGAAGGTGCTTTATCAGAGACACATCTTCACAGTGTAAAAAAAGATTATCCCACAACACAACACTATATATTGATTAGATGTATATTTACATATAAATTTTAGAAGAGTAATAACAGACAATAAATATATGAGCAATTGTATAAAATTTGAAGTGGCAACTTTCTTTTGAATTGGTCAAATATTCAATTTCTAGTCAAATCTAAATCAAGTACCAGTGAATTACAGACAATAAAATAAAGTTAAAGAGTACAAAGGTTCTCAAAGCAGTGTTGCACACATCCACCATAAGCTATCTGAATACAGTAGTAAAAAAAACTAATATAAGTTAAAATATATGTCTTAAAATATGCATGGGAGAGTGTTCAAAATGAAACTTGGTGACACCAATCTCTTCCCATTTTAATTCATTTACGATGTCTATGAGTGATGGGGATATAGAACACTTGACTCACATGTGTGAGGTGCTGAGTTTAAGCCCAACCACTGAAAAATAGTAATAATAATAATAATAATTTACATATATAATAATATTCACTAATTTGGGGAACATTGCTGGGTATGGGTACTCACATCTGTAATTCCAGGCTGAGGAAGTATAGTAAAATACCTCACAAAAAAGAAAGAAAGAATAGAACAAAGTTATGTGTGTTTACAGCAAACAAGGAACAGCTCACCAGTAGAAAATTCTACCATATAAAATTTAGATAGGAAGAAAGAGAAATAATAATGAAAACATCAAGCAGCAAAATTATTACACATATTTACAAAAGCCCCCATGTGTAGTTAGTGTAGGAATTGGTGATTTAATCATCTTCTGCACGTACAGAGAAAAAGAAAAAAATTTTGTCTCACTATACAGAGATGGCCTCAAACTCAAGAGACCTACCTGCCTCTGCCTCCCAAGTGCTGTGATTAAGGTGTGCACCAACATGCCCAGTGAGAAAAGAACTTAAAATGTTAATAAAAATATACTCCCTAGAAGTAATGTCAAAATATTGTGTTTACACATATAATCACTGTAGAGAATATGAATAATTTAAATATATCTTTAGAAGTTATATTTTATATTTATTAATTTTATTTCTAAGCTTTGATATTTACTCATTTTGAAATAACAACATTGGCATCTGTGATACATTACCAGGCTTCTACCATACCATAAATTGTTCAGCTTAATCTAAAAAAATGAGTCATATTCTCTTACATATTTTGTGTTTTATTACCATATTGAATCAATATTTTAATGACATTGAAACTTTATCACATTACTCTAATTATGTCTCAATTTCTAATTTATATGATCATAGACATTTCCCTGTCCACCCCTGGAAGTACAGCAATTAAATGTGTCAGTTATAAAACAGTATTCCCTAATGTCATAAAGTCTTTGAAACTGGAGAATATTAGATGATTTCTTAAGATTATGTAGAAAATGAAGAAATAACCCTCTGTTCACTATTTTGCTTCTTCCATTCCTGGAAATGTCTATGAATTCATGCTCAGCTGACACCATCAGAAATGCCAAAATCTCACTCTGGTTGCTATGCAGTTTAAAATTCAAAAGGAATTTTGAATGGGGTTCTCACTGACCTGAAAAACAGCTCAATCTTTCAGAGTCCAGAGAAAAATAATGGTCTCTTTAGAAGAGCAGAAAAACTCTGGTATTTTTCCACAAAATTTGTAAACATGAAAGATGGAGAAAATAAAAAAAAAATCAGAAGAAAAAACAAAAGGATAAAAATAACTTTTGTTGAAGAACTACTGGATGTCAGGCTGTATATATTGCTTCATAAAGGTAATTATGTGTTTTAGTAACTATCCTGTGTGGCAGGTATTATAAATGACCTCACCTTTCTGAAAGAAACATCCTTGGGTAGCTAATACGATCTCTTAATGAGCCTTACACATAAGGAATAGAATTGGGTGCCTCCAGCCCTAAAACATAGACTAAGAACACACGGTTGTCACTTCTTTCAGAGAAAAACACAAACTATTTTATTATATCTAGATAAATAATTATGTTATGTTAGAGTTAAGGAAATAATATTTCATCTTTATTGTTTCATTGTATTTAGACAAATAGGATGTTCAAATAATTTTATATCACTTCATTTAGGTATTTTTTAAAACCTCCATTATCTTATTTTGGTCTATTATGCTGGTAGGATGAGTACATTGTGTGTCCAAAGACATACTATAAGCAGCTGAGCTTCCAGACTGTGCTGAAAGTTGAACTGGTAAAACAAGCAGCATGCATCTTAAGTTTGAAATAGAAAACCCACAAAGGTTTCCCAGGACCAAACCTGCTCATCTCTGTCCAGTGTACTTTACTCCCTTTGGATCTGCACGCTCTCCCTTTCATTCTACTCTAGAGGAAAGAAGAATGAATGAGGAAAGAAATGTGAAATAGGCTAGAAGAAGTCATCTACTGTAGCAATGCACCAGAGTTAGTCTTTCAAAAGACAATGTTTAGATGCAACTCTTTCAATTTCCATTATATTGTTCAGCTGGATTTGGTGCTACGAATTACATCTCCTATTTTATTTGCCAGTTTCCTTTCCATTGTAGAACTGGAAGAAGTTAGCCACCAGTTCTTAGACCATAACTAACCATTTTTCTTAGTATTTTTTATTTAAATGTTTTTCTTAATTCTTTGAGAATTTCATGAATGTACTTTGCTTATATTCATCTTCCCAGATCCTCCCCCACCTTCCTATCCACACAATTTCATCTTCTCTCTCTCTCCCTCTCTCTCTTCCTCACCTCCCTCCCAACCTCCTATCACCTGTCTACCTATCATCTATCTATCTATCTATCTATCTATCTATCTATCTATCTATCTATCTATCTATCTACCTACCTATCTACCTACCTATCATCTGTCATCTATCTATTATCTATCTATCTGTCTGTCTATCTATCTATCTATCTATCTATCTATCTATCTATCTACCTACCTACCTACCTACCTACCTATCTACCTACCTTTTGAGTCCAGTTTGTATTGACCAACTACATCTGGGTGTGGGGACTGCCTTGGAGTGTGGTTGACAGGGTGTCATACCGCTAAAGAAAACTGACTTTTCCTCTCTTAGTGACAATCAAATGCCAAGAGCTCCTCAGCTTTGGTTGGGACCTCATGCCCACATCCCCTCTCCCATGTTGGCATTTTGTCTAGCATGAGTTTGTTCGGTTCTTGTACACACTATCACAATTTCTGAGTTCACATGTGTCTCTGCCCTGCTATGTCTGGCAAACACTGCTTCCTTGAAGCCATCCACCACCCCTGGCTGTTACAATCCTTTCATTACCTCATCCACAATGATCCCTTGAGAGGAGGGTTGTAGCAAGTCTTTCTCTGTATTTCCAGCTCCCAAATAATATCACAGAGACTTATTATTAATTATGAAAGCTGGGCCTTAGCTTAGGCTTATCCCACTAGCTCTTATAGCTTAAATTAACCCATTCTTTTCATCTATGGCCTGTCACATGGCTCATTATCTCATCTCTCCATACTGCTTTCTCCATGTCTGCTGGCCATCCCACCTTTATTCTTCTCCCTGTCTTCTCTGTGCCCAGAAGTCCTGCCTAACCTCTTCCTGCCTAGCTATTGGCCATTCAGCTCTTTTTTAAACCAATCACAGTGACACATCTTCACAAGTGTAAAGGACTACTCCACAACAGAGGGTTGTGAGATATGTATATATATATAAAATATATGTATAATATATATATATATATATATATATATATATATATATATATACATACCATGTAAGGCTGAGCATCTCTTCATGTTGACCAATTGTGGTTTTCCATGTTAATTAATTGCCATCTACCACAAGAAGAAACTTCTCTAATGAGTGTTGAGCAGTGTACTGATCTATGGCCATAGCAATAAGTCATTAAGATACACTTTAATGCTGTCTTTCAGAAGAATGATAAAAGTAGGTTTTCCCCTAGAGCATATGCCTTATCAAGCCACAGGTTCTTGGTTCCATTGGCAGTGTCAGATATGGGTTCCATCTCTTTGAATGAACCTTAAAGCCAATGGGAAAGCGGTTGGTTACTCCCATAACAATTGTGCCTCCATTGCACTGGTGGGCACATCTCACCAGGCAGGTTGTTATGATAGCTTGCCAGCTTCACAGGTGGGGGAGATCACTGACTACTTTTCT